CTGGGACCCATCACTTCCATTCCTTATCTACATCATATCATGCATCTTTCCATTTTTTAAGTGCTTCCAACTTGGGTATTCACTCTTTGTTCTCTAATTATTTCTTGTAATTCATGCCTCTCAAATACAATTTAACTAATAATTTAATTCAAAATAAGTTCATAAATTTTTTATTAATCGTGTTACAGAGTACATGATAAGAATTTGGAGACAAGTAATTAAATTAGTTGAGGCATCTCGATTAATTTACCTCATCTACTCATCTGATCTTCCAAAATAAGTGGTGATGGATCCTTAAATTTACTTCTAAAAAGGGTTAAATATACTGTTAACTGATTTTTTTTTTGCTCAAACTAAGAAAGTCAATAAACAGTTTGTGTACTAGGAGTCAAATTTGTAACTTTATAATTATCAAGTCAATAGTCTAATCGATCAATTTGGGTGGAATCGCCCTTAATGTATAATATTAATTTAGTTGTGCATGCAGAGGGTGGCCGGGAAGAAGAAGCAACTAACCAATAATTCTTAATTTGAAGGGCAGAGAATATTCTATAAGAGAGGCATAAAGATTTGGGGCGCCTTGGACATGATGTGAACCATATATATACATACACATATAATGTGATCACATCTTTGAAAATAACCTAATCCATACCACTAAAGAGACATCCTGTACGGACATGTACAAGGATGTCAGACGTCTTTTGTTATTTATATCTGTTCTGGTGATGATATATATAATATATACTGCCTTAGTCTTCTCACATGTCATTGCTACATACTCGCAACTCCATCCTCTTTGGTCTATTTGTAATAAATAGATTGCTACATGCTATTATATAATATTTAATAATGATAATAATAATTATTATTATTATAATGGAAAATTAGTCATTTTTGCTGATGATGAAATTTTTACTAGTTAATGAAAAATACTTAAATGGATATTTAATTAATTTTACTTCAATGTCACACACAACATTCTCACTACTATGTTGTATGCATGCACTTCTTGCCCTACTTATAAAATGTAACAAATTAAGGTTTGCATATGTAGTACAGCTAGCTATACTGTACTACTATAATATGAATTTGTTTCCCCGTCCATCAATTATATATATTAACCTTCTTAGCTTGAGCCAGCTGTTAGCTATGAATAATTTAGTACAATTTATCTCCTTATGCTTCGTTATCGGTTAGGGCTACACAACAATCTTTACTTAAAGCGTACTTTGAAGTTTTAAATAGTAATTGCGAACTTTAATTTCTAGTAAATCAAAGGACAACTAGCTAATTACTATAATATGATATTAAAGTATTTAGAGGAAATTAAATACTCCAGTACATTGTTTTCTTCTAATAATAAAAAATGGTATCCATAAAGTAGATGTACCAAATTTGCACTAACATTATATTATATTTGATATGACAGCTCCATGGATAGGTATGCATGTCATCTATGCCAAGTAACCCTAAGATTTCTCTATATAGCTTAGTACGAACAAAAAATATGAGTATGGTTGAAAGATGGAAAACATCACTATGTTAAAGCCTAAAGGAGTGCCTTAAACAAACATCTTTACAATGTAAAGTTATATGGTACTATGTGATCCAAATTAAAGTTTCAACTTTTATTTTAGGTGCTAACATACATCACTATATTATAGTTTAAGAAAGTCTAGTCTCGGGACAACCTACCTACCTCAGTCAAATTGATAAGGCAATTGACTTAATAACTATCTACAAGGTTTTCAAGTTTGATTTTTCGTGGTAGTTGTCATTAGTCTTATCGATTTGAGCTGCTCAGCTATGAGCTATCTGGGCTGGTTTACCTTATTGTAGTTAACCTTTACCGACTAAGGTCAAAATGTGGGTTCACCCAGAGTGCACATTCAAGTAGTAGTTGGTGGAATCCCCGTAAATGAAAGAAATTCCACTCTCTATAAATCAAAGAAGGCTCTTTTTAATACAAACTACAAGAAAATATTTACAGATTCTACTTATTTACCTACAGATTTTTAATAGATATAAAGTGAATAGATTTTTTTTTTTTTTGTTGGGCAGAGGTTTGAAAGATCGAATCTAACATTCTACCATCAAAATGTGGTAATAGCTGCTATACATATATAAGGGAATAAAGTTATACCTTGACTACTATATAAACGCTTGATAGCTACTATAAATTTTAACGTAATCATAAGCACTTGATGTTGTCATTTTGTTAAAGAATTAATATTATATATGTGCGCTTCAGTGATTGTACCCTTCATGTTTTGATGAGGTTTCTACTTAGCTTGCCTACCAAAACTAAACAAATGTAAAATCCTCATAATGTACTTCCAACTTTATAAAAGAAAAAAAATAATATTTGGCAATAGATACACCTTTTGCATTGCACCCAATAACGTAACAACTTGATTCAGACTAGTTGTTGTATAAGGTGTGATGTGCACATCATTCTTCTTTTGCAGCTCTCCCATGAAATTTGGATTAAGATTGATGTTTGAAGGGTTTGCTATTGTTTACATATAAAATAGTTTTATTTCTCATTTTATTTGTACTAGGTATTTGAGGTATTTACTCCCAATTCAGTCGTTGACTAGTTAGTTTCATTGTAAGACTAGTTGTTCATTACAAGGACTTATGTGCAAGTTTCTATAGTAAGATAGTGTTTGGCTTCATGTCTCATTCATCTATCTGGTAGATGAGTAGAGATCAACGATTGAGGGTTGTTGAAAAATAAGAAGAAGAAAGACGAGTCATTTTTATAAATATTGTAAATTTAAAATTTTGTAACATTTATAAAATTGACCCAAAATTTTATTTTTACTAAAATCTTCTACCATTAATGAATCTAGATGGACGAGTGAGATTCGTTTACACTTTTTATAGGAGAACCCCATTCTTATTTGATCATTCATATATATAATCGCCATGTTTGGTAATGGCTGTTACCTGCTAGCTGATTGAGTTAATTAGAGAGTATAACTAGTTGATAACATTAGCTGATTGTAGTAAGATTTTGGTAAATTAACTGTTAGATGATAGCTATTTAGTATAATTTCTTTTCTCAAAAAGTTAATTGAAAAAGTTACTTTGAGCGACTTTTTTAATTTTAGTATTTTGAAGTTACACAAAGCTAATTAACCAAACACTTATATTTAACCAAATCAAACAATTAATAGTGATCAAATAAGATAAAATTGACTGATAAGTTAATTATTTTACCAAATAGTAGGGTCAATATGTTCTATAGCTCCAACTTTTTGCTAAGTTATAGCAGATTTAAAAAATATATATATTTTTAAAGAATCTCGTAAAAATAGTACGTACTAATAAAATATAGTAACCTGGCGATTGTAGTGCTTTAAGGGATAATCTTAGGCAGTATAAAGGATTTATCTTAGAAAATTAAATGCCGCCAATGATATTGATATCATCAGAGAACGACACTCAATTAAATTATTAAATATAATAAACAAATAAATAAATAAAATTTCTCTTTTAAAATTTCCAACAAATTATTTGGCCATTAAATTGCATATATACAAATCTAGAGGCAATTTTTAATGGCATGTTAAATACTACTATTTTTTTGTATTCCAAAGACATCAAAAGGATGTGAAAGCGAACAACCTAATTGTTTAATGCATATATGCATTGCGATATCACCGATATGCTTCCAAGAATATACTTAATTTCTACAATTAATTAACTAAGCGATAATTATCTTATTCACCAATGTATCAAAAATAGTGAACAGTTGCTCGTCGCTTCTTTATTGTTTATTTATTTATTGTTATCAATAATAAATTTATATATATATCTTAACATTTATATTTATAGAATTTTAGTTGAACTAACCAAAAAAAAAAAAAAAAGTTTTCTTTACAAAAAAGAAATTGAGATGATATTATGACTTTTTTTTGGGGGGGTCATTAAGTGTTTTGGTGGTTGGCCCTGTGTTCCTTAGCACGTTAATCTCTTTATCTTCAAACTCTTCCATCCAACACCACAAAAAATACAAAAAAGTGGAATACCAAAAAGAAAAATTATGAAAATAAAATTAAAGAAAAAAGACAAAAGAGATATCAATAATTATCAATGAGGGTCCCTCTCAGTGCTACTCCTTGGACTATCAACTTTAATTTTTACCCTCTCCCCCTAGCTAGCTATACCTTTTAAAAAAAAAATCAAAATCATCTAATTATATTCTTTTCTTCATTTTTAAACTTTTTTTTCAAATATTTGGATCTTCTGACAAACTTTAATGATGGATTCAAAGGTTTCATTTTAGCATACTGAATTTGGTATCTTTATTACAGTAAAATTAAGCTCAATTTTATATAAGTAGCGTCTGCATATTTGACTTTTATTCAGAAAATATTTGACTCAAAACTCTTTAATATGGTACACTTTTTATAAGAATCGAAAGTTCGACTTTACGGTTGCATAACACACAAAACACACACATCTACATATTTATTTCTCTCTCTGGAAAGTTGGTTTGTAAGTTCATCTTTCAACTAGGAGGTTCCTCTTGTTGGCTGCACCAAATGATTTGAAAAGGAGAGTCAAATCATCAATAGCATAAATTTTTTTTTTTTTTTTAAAAAAAAAAAAAGAAAAGGAAGAAGAAAAGAAGAAAAAAGTTGGCTTCTTTGATCAGTTTCAGTTTGCAGCAAGTACTTCCATCACTCCAAAAAGCTTACATGAGTCTGACATGAACTCATCACATTTCACACCCATATATATACATACATTTCAAGAAAATTAAAAAAAATTTACCTTTTTTTTGGGTGTGTGTAGTATATGCAAATTGTTTTACAGTTATAATTAATAAAAGAATAGTTTCATTCTTAAAGATGTAATTACATTATCGAACCATGTAAATCTTGTCATTTTTATTTTTTTACCACTATTTCCTATTCTTGTTCTGGTTTATCTCAACATTCTTAGAAATGAGTGGATAAATAGGGTGAATAAAAAGATGGGTATCTTTTGCTTTTAACTTTTTAGCCCCATCTCACTCTTATATGTCTTAGCTTCTTTCCCTTTTCTTCTAGCCTTATCAACAGGAAGAGAAAGACTGAAAGAGTGTGTTGCAGAGGGAAATTGATTGAGACCAGTATTAGTATATTGCTTGTACTCATCCACACACATATATATAATAGAGAGAGATAGAGAGAGAGAGAAATAGATACACAGATCCATCTATCTTGCTTCATGCGACAGACATGGGGTATGTTCACTCTCCCTCGATCTCCATCTTTCCAGAAAATTAAGATGTTTGAATGAGTTGAGTTGCTGTCTTAGTGTCTGTCCATTGTTTTCTTTATGAATATATATATATATAGAGAGAGAGAGAGAGAGAGAATTGAGTCAAGAAATCTCCCCATCCTTCTTTCTCTCAAATCTGTCTGGTTTTCTTCGTGTCACTGTTAACAAGAATTCTTCTTCTTCGATTTTCTTAGCAGATGATGATGAGACTCCACGTGCACCCTCCCCAGATTTCCATCGCTCCAGCAACAGGTACATACACAATTCTGCATATATATATACACCCATAGGCCATATCCACATGTTTTCTGTCATTCTGTGTGATCTTTAACGAACCCAGGCATATAGGTTTCTGGGTAGTAGTTCATGCATGGAGATTCTTGATCTGATCTGTGTACTCTATAGAGGATATATAGGAAGATGATGAGGGTGAAGAAGAAGAAGAAGATGATGATAAAAGTGGGTTTTTAGGGAATTGAATATAATTTTCATGTTAATGATTGGTTGGTTGGTTGGTTCTGGGCTTTGAATTTTCAAGGGCTTTCTCTATAAGAAGAAGACTAGTAATATGTAATATCATCTCTTTTCACAAGTCAATACCCAGAACTGTTTCTGAGCCCTATTCGAGAGTGTGTATTGAGTAAACTGTTCCGTTTTTAACCACTTATTAGTCTCACTTCACCAACCAAAATGAGTTGAATCTCATCTCTACCCTCACCCTACCTTCTTCCCCTCTCATCATCATCATCATCATCAGTAGCAGGTAACCACATAAATATATGATTGATTGTGTGTATGTGTGTGTGTGTGTATAATATAAACATGATGTATATGCATGGGATTTATGGTTCGGGTAGATCGAGGTTAATTGAGGTTTGGTTTTGTGTGTTTTGTGGGATTGTTTTATGGAAGATGGGCGCTAACGTAGTGTGTTGTCATGAGTTTTATATAGGGGAAAAAGATACATTTTAGTCAATTACTGAAAGGGAAAGAGACAGACAGAGATGGCTACGTACTTTCATGGGAATTCTGAAATCCAGGCAGGAGGTGACGGCTTGCAGACGCTTATACTCATGAACCCGGCCGGGTACGTCGGATTTTCCGACGCACCGCAGCAGGGGCAGGCGCCGCCGGGGAGCAACTTCATCTTCCTCAACTCCAACGGGCCAGGGAGCTCGATAAGCTTCGCGCACGCGCCGCCGTCGCAGTCGCAGCAGCAGTATGTCGGCATACCCCTCGCCACCACCGCCTCCGCGCCTCCGTCGACTCAGGAGGTCCACGCGTCCGCCGCCGCGGCGCACTCTCAGCATGACATCACTGCGCTCCATGGGTTCCTGGGTAGGCCGCAGTATAACCTGTATGCGCCGCCGATGGAGCTCGCGGCGGCGCGTGACGTGACACGCGCCCAGCAGGGGCTGTCCCTCAGCCTGTCCTCGCAGCAACCGGGGTTTGGGAATTTCCGGCTGGAGCGTGAGGTGGGGTCACAGCAGCTGGTTACGGCCATATCACCGACCGCCGGCGATGAGGTGAGGGTTTCCGGGGGATCGCCGTCGTCGGCGTCCGGCGTTTCCAACGGCGTGAATGGCGTCCAAAGTGTACTGTTGAGCTCCAAGTACTTGAAGGCGGCGCAAGAACTTCTTGAAGAGGTTGTTAATGTTGGCAAGGGAGTAAAGGCTCCTACTGAATCATCAAAAGAGGCTAATTGTCCGGCCAAGAACCCCGGAGACTCCTCCGGCGCCGGCGACGGACAAACCGGAGGTGAGAGCAGTGGCAAACGCGCCACCGAGCTCACCACCGCAGAAAGACAGGAAATTCAAATGAAGAAAGCAAAACTTGTTAACATGCTTGATGAGGTATGCTTTTAATCTATCTTTAATTTCCCTATCTGCTTATACAATTCTCCATGATTTTTTTTTTTTCCTAAGAATTTCTTCCCAATTTTAATATAAAGTTCATAACTTTGGCTCTGACAATACATGGATGCATATAATCCTCCCCAAGAACTCGGGAGGGAAAGACAGGTCTACATCAGTAAAAGCTGCAAAATTTCTGCCAAAAAAAAAGTGTTCTTTTCAAAAATCTGCAGAAAACTGCTTCTAATAACAGAATCCCCTGCACCTTTCACTATCTAATCTGCTAAAATGGGTGGAATCTTGGAATTTTCAGGTGGAGCAGAGGTACAGACAGTACCATCACCAGATGCAGATAGTGATATCATGGTTTGAGCAGGCTGCAGGGATTGGTTCAGCCAAGACCTACACAGCTCTGGCATTGCAGACGATCTCGAAGCAGTTCAGGTGCCTGAAAGATGCAATCTTGGGGCAAATTCGCGCTGCCAGCAAGAGTTTGGGGGAGGAAGATGGGTTGGGAGGGAAGATCGAGGGCTCGTCGAGGCTGAAATTTGTGGATAATCAGCTCAGACAGCAGAGGGCTTTGCAGCAGTTGGGAATGATCCAGCACAATGCTTGGAGACCCCAGAGAGGATTGCCAGAGCGATCTGTTTCTGTGCTTCGTGCCTGGCTGTTCGAGCATTTCCTTCACCCGTAAGCACTCAAATCACCATTTTTCGTTTCGATAATTGTGGCTTAGCTTAGTTGTTGTAATAATAACATTGTTTTGCCCGAATTTCTGTTCAGTTACCCCAAGGATTCAGACAAGATCATGCTGGCAAAGCAGACAGGCCTTACTAGGAACCAGGTTAGTGACTATTAGAATATGGTAATTAGATAAATATGTAAACAATATTATTCTTAGATTACTGTATTTGGTTCAGGTGTCTAACTGGTTCATCAATGCTCGAGTTCGCCTATGGAAGCCGATGGTGGAGGAGATGTATCTGGAGGAGATCAAGGAGCAAGAACAGAATGGATCAGAGAACAAAACAGGCAAAGGTGAACCAAATGAAGATTCGGTTTCTCACCACCAGGACAAAAGTCCTGGGGGCTCAGATCATCAAGAAAATATGAGTTTTGCCCAAAACCAGTCCACTTCTCCTACTGGGATAACCATTAGGAACCAACCTGGAGGGTTCAATCTCATTGGACCATCAGAAATGGAGAGCATCACTCAGGGCAGCCCAAAGAAGCCGAGGAGTGCAGATATGCTGCATTCCCCGAGCAGCGTTCCCTCCATAAGTATCGATGCAAAGCCTGCAGATGAACAAGGCTCCATGAAGTTCATGAATGATAGGCAGAATAGAGAAGGGTTCACATTACTGGGAGGCTCAACCAACTTCATGGGAGGGTTTGGATCGTACCCAATCGGGGGGTTTAGCACCGAGCAGTTCCCTGGAATCCCTGCTGCACCGTATTCTGGCAATGCAGTCTCCCTCACACTCGGCCTTCCCCCCTCCGAAAACCTCCCAATGTCAGCCACACACCACGCCTTCCTCCCCACCCAAGACATCCATATGGGGAGAGGAGTCGAAATGGGAGAAGCCAACGAGTTTGGTGGCATGACCACTCCCACATCCGCCCATCCAACCAGCGTTTACGAGAGCTTCAACCTCCAGAACCGGAAGAGGTTTGCTGCAACATTGTTGCCAGACTTTGTAGCCTGAGAACACTCTCATCATTATCTTCTGTTCCCTAGGAAAGGAGGGGGGATTCTTCATGTTAGTGTAAAGAGTCAAAAGGCTTTACATTTAGCACAGGTCTCTATACTTTGCAGAAGATCAAAGAAGAAGAAGAAGAAGAAGAACCACTAGAGTTCTTATAGATAGTTAATTTAGGTTTTTAGACAATATATGGTTGAGGATTGTATATTAATTTTTGTTTTTCTCTTTTGGTTGCAGTCTTGCAGATAGTATAGTTGGATTGTTATATTGGATGTGGAAAAAAACTAGTTATATTGGGGTGGTATAGAAAATAATGTTCTTTTTTCTAATAAAGCCTCTTTAGTCGAACCGTCGGGACTATATATGAAACATTATTCACAACCTTGGAAAACATTAGAGATCATGGAATAATTTTTCTTGGTTAGATGGTGATTGATCAGCTGAAAAGGAAAGGGGAACCTTATATGGCATTTGCTTGTGGATAAAAGCAACATGGGAATGATGATGATGTTGTTGAAAACTTTGTGTTTAAAGGCTAGCTGTTGCTTCTTCCATCAAAACTCTTTGTTTTAGCTTTTTTGTGGTGTGGTATCCCAATTGCCATTCATTTCCTCAGGACCACAAAGGTGGAAGAAGAAAAGCTTATCTGGACTGGCTGATTGTGATGCTACTTAGAGTGATATGAAGACGAAAGTACATTCCCCGAGGGGAAAACTCAAGCCAAGTTGACCAGACTGTTCACTTAGAAACCCGAAGAGCTTATTGGCCTTCTTAGTTTAAGCCAGCTATGAACAACTTAGGCTGGTTTACCTTATTCTGGTCAGAAATGGTCCCCACAAGGTGAAGGGCATCAAGAAGAGAGGGGGAGACAACAATAAAGCCATGAATTGACACAACCTAAGATTATTTTGGGAGGGGTGTTCAATATACAGATGTTATATATGCAGAGAACAAAACAGGAGAATATAGACATGATAATGATTAGACTGAGCAAATGTGACCTGATCTTTGGGCAAAATCATGGAAGAAAATCATCATCCTCAAATTATGTATCTGTGTTGTCATATGCTCCTCCCTTCAATATCTCTGTAAAGTTATCTGTGACAGCCATTCTGTCAAGATCTCAGCCTGCAGATGATCAATGGATGGAATGAGAATCGTCACTGAAACAATTGACAACTTCATGGATTATATTGCCATGGCTCAACACCATCCATAATGTTTTGCAGTCTCATCAATTTTTATTTTTTTTTTAAGGGAAATGCAGTCTCATCATTGTTCATCCTCCATATCTGCAGTAGTCATGTCAAATATTGGGTGGATGATGTCCAATTATGTAGAATGGAGTGTTCTATGATGCACAACACTCAACGTTACCATCTTGGGAAACCTTAAATGCACACTTTATGCGGTCGTTATATGCGGTCAAAACGGTGCCGTTTCTTTACCGTCATTTCTTTTAAGTAAAAAAATAGCGGGCTGTTAGTTTTAACGGAGCGCACATTTTTTTGTATGTTAATTACCAATAGAAACTACAGTATATCTAAACCGACACTGCCTCACGTATTATTTTTATATTATCAAATATCAAATGAAACTGCAATTATATCAAAATGATATTGTAGTTGTGTTGAAATGAAACTGCAGTATATATAAAATGAAACTGAATAACATTTCGCATATTTGTGTGTATATTATACAATGAAGCTGTAATTATTTCAAAATAATCATGTAGTTGTGTTTAATAAAACTATAGTGTATATAAAATAAAATTAAATAACATTTTCACATATTTGACTCTATAAACAGAGTTATTTTTTGCGGAATGGTGCGGAACGATAGGAAACGGATGCCGTTTCTTTTCATTAAACAAAACGACATCGTTTTGATGTGCGGTGCATAATTGATTATGCACCGCGGTGAACGATATAATTTGCCCACTTTATAATACACTACTGGAAATTCTAAAATTCCCGACCACCTGAAAGTGATCTTAAATTAAGTTGAAAGCCTAGTTCCGACCACTTTTGGTTTCCGGAAAAACCCTTGTTGCTATTTCCGACCACTTTTTGCTTTCAACTTGATTTAAGATCACTTTCAGGTGGTCGGAAATTTAATAATTTCCAGTAGTGATAAAAGTAAGAATATCAAAATGGGCCGAAGCTAGCTAGCGTTATATATATATATATATATATATATATATATATATATATATATATATATATATATATATATATATACCTGGCCTGTTCTTGCGAATTGGCAACTATGGATACCCTTTCAATTCCTCAACTTCTTCTTCGTCCCACAGCAATTTCAGGTCAAAGTTAAAAAAAAATGAACTTTATTTCAGCATCAATTTATCGAGGTGCAGTGTACACCTTTTCGTTTTCTTTAATTTGTAAATTTAAAAACTGGTTCGATGATTTTTACGTTAGATGGACCCCTGACTTATTTTTAGAATAATTCAAACTCATTTTGATACTAATCCCACCCTACCGAATGTGAATGTCCACTTTCAATTTTCAATTTTAATTTAGTGGTTAAGCCCGTCTAATAAATCCAACAACCCGTAGTTTTGAGTTAGGGTTTCCAACTCAACAAAAAAATAATAAAAAACTATTTAACTCAAATTGATTAGCCCAACAGCCCTGCAGGTTAGTTCCAAACTTAACGGATTGACTCAATTGACATCTCTAAGTAAAAGGTATCAAAAGTATAAGTATTATATTTTTTGCACTATCAGCAACGTCTTTAAGAAAATTGTTCTAAATAGAATTGAGTGAAACTTAACTAGATTAGTCTATGAGAACAATACGTAGATACATACAAAAATAAAAAATAAAAAAATAATAATTACACTTTGCACTATGCTAACTTTTTTCTATTTTAAAAAAATAAAGAACCAAATTCTTATAAGTCATATGTGAGAAGTAGGCCCAAGTATTGGAATGATCCAATATTTGGCCCATTCTTTCAAAACCCAAAACACTTCGCAAAACAATCCGGGCAAATTATTGTATGGACCATGGTCCACATAATGTTATGTGGATCATAACAAAAAGTACATTTCTAATATACTAAATGTACATTATTTTTGTACTGAATGTACATTATATAATATAATGTACACTCAAAACAAAAATAATGTATATCCCCTGTATACAATATACATTATTTTTGTACTGAATGTACATTATTTTTATATTGAATGTACATTATTTTATAGTAGACAAAATATGGTCTACACAACTTGTGTGGACCATGGTCCATACAATAATGATTGAACAATCCGAGGCCCGGTCATTTTAAGGTGGCAAGTTATACTTTTTACATTACAAGGTGAATCGCTGATACATATTCACTTTTAATATAGTAAATATTCATAAATTAAAAATGAACTTTTATGAATAAACTTTAAGTACATTAAAAATTAATCTTTAGTATATTAAGAAAAGAACAAGTATCTCCTCACCTTGAAATGTAGATTATAGTCCACAATATAATGAGGTATTTGAATATACGGAGTAATTAGATTGTAAATTTATATTTGATATATTATACACTCAACATCCAATCGTTATCCCATGGAACTGTGTTCAACATTCATGGTGAACATGGTTCCAACGGTGTTAGTACACCGTTATCTTTTTTTTTTTTTTTTTTAATTAATTGCGTGACTTTTCTTCTTTATTTTCACATTTTGCGGTTTCACTTTAATTTGAGGTGAGCAATGATTTCGGATATTCATAAATTATGAATTCATGCCTGCACATTCACTTTGGAACCATGCCTACACATTCCCGTCCGAAATCATGGACATTCATAATTTATGAATCCATGCCTGCACATTCACTTTGGAACCATGCCTACACATTCACTTTGGAACCATGAAATTATGAATTTTCTGTTATTCTGTTATAAGATTATGAATTTTCAGTTATGAGATTATGAATTTTCAGTTATGAGATTATGAATTTTCTGTTATGAGATTATGAATTTTCTGTTATGAGATTATGAATCTACATTACATTCATAATCTCATAACAGAAAATTCATAATTTAATAAATATTTTACTTTTATGCGATTATGAATTTTCTGTTATGAAATTATGAATTTACATTACATTCATAATCTCATAACAGAAAATTCATAATTTGATCAAACGCGTGTCGTTAACTCCACATCCGTGATTTTTTTTTTTTTATTTTTTGCGTAAAAACGACGTCGTTTGGACTTGTGTTCACCATTCACGATGAACACGTTTTCAGAGCATAATTTGCGCTCAACATCCTTCTCATGTGTGTAAGCCGATACTTCTGAGTTTAAAATTAAATAAACGTCTAATTAAACTGTACATTTATATTTTACATTTTATATGCTCAATAAGAGTTGCACAAAATAGATACGGAGTACATAATATAATAACAATATGCACTATGGAATCTTGTGTAATGAACTCAATTAAAAAAAAAAATTATTGACAATAATCAAATTTATAACCTTCAAATACAAAAGTTATGCCTCACCCACTACTCCATAGTAATTCTTAACCAAGTCCAAATATGTTGTAACAATATCGAGTGTGAATTTTAATGTCAAAAGAAGGAATTAATAACATCTTAACATTTTAATGTCAAAATTTTGAGTTACATCCAGAGTATTCAAAAGAAAAGGCAAAAGCATTGAAAAGTACAGATTACAGAAAATAAATTTTTTTATTTTTATTTTTATTATTTAACTCCCTTCCCGGAGAGTATAACGTACAAAGTTAGTTAATTATAATGTGTTCAATATTTATATCAAAGTCTAAATTCATATATAGATCACTTTGAACGACAGTCTGGCCAGTAGGCCATATATGCCAACCTCTCATTGCAAAGCTATTTAATTCAATCAAGAATGCCATCCATCTTCTAGACGAGTCAAACAAAATTAATGGCTCAGATCCACTTGCATATATATATATAATAATTACTATGAATTATCCATATTTTTCTAGTTTTATTCAGTTTTCATTTTTTAAATTATTTAAAATCAAACTCACAACGTTTAACTTCGAGACTTTAATTTAGTTAAATAACATTAATTTCATCTTACTTAAATTATGGATCCAGACCAATTAATATATCATCTCCTTGTCAAATCATTTTCCTTGGACTTATAGGAGCAACTTTAGATTAAATGCAACAAAATAATGGAGTTTGAATATGAATTTTTTAACCTCAAGAAACCCTAACCAAACAAATAATAATTTTAGTGGTGATTATTTATCACTAAAAACTTAATGATAATATATGATGCTTTCAATTTCTTGCCTAAATTATATCTATCACCTCTCCAACTATATCTCAATAATGATTAATTTTAAACGATTCAAACTCCACTCACCTAAATCAATGTTTTTTGATAAAATTGGTCGATTGATATGATGAACCTATTATGTGTGGAATTGAATAATTGTAGTTTAACTATATATGAGATTATAGGGTTTGGAACTGTATCTACACATCATGTTTCAATGATTCAAACACCTTACACTTGAATCAACGCCTTTTTTTTTTCTTTTTCTTTTTTTTTTTTTTTTTTTTTTTTGTAAAAAAATCTTGTTGATTAACCTATTATGTGCAGAATTGAATACTTGCAGTCTAACTATATATGAGATTATAGGGTTTGAAATAGTATGTGCATATCATGTTTAAACCATTCAAAACCCTTTACTTAAATCAATGGTTTTTGATAAAACCAGTTTGTTGATGAACCTATTACGTGTGGAATTGAATAATTATGGTCTAACTATATATTGGATTATTATAGGGTTTGGAACTGTATTTGTATATCATGTTTAAATGATTTAGACACCTCTCACTTAAATGGCTGAACGAATCAACGCCTTTTGATAAAAATAGGCTAGGTATATTGGTGAACCTATTACGTGTGGAATTGAATAATTATGGTCTAACTATATATAGGATTATAGGGTTTGGAAATTGAAATTGTATATGCACATCATGTTTAAACGATTCAAACCATCCCTTTTACCCGAATCAACAAACATGTTTGTTGATAAACCTATTAGGTGTATGTTAAATTGAATAACTGAAATCTATTTTCAACGGTTATTTTTTCCTCTTTGGGGGAACCATAAACAAAGAATCTTCACCAAAAAATAAACTTTAAAATGGAAATTATAGTTGAAGGGAATATTTGTCCTTCCCCTTGGACTGAACTGGAGTCTGGGTCTGTTCTAGAAAAGCAGCAATAATAATGTTCACAGTGTGATACACACAATGCAAGAGGAGGTCATTTGGACCGTTGACTTGCCTTTTTGACTAGCATACGGCTAAATTGTTTGGGGACAAATTTTTAAGATTTTGATGGCATAAAATTCATCACTGAAAATTTCTGGTGATTGGAGTATGGGTCACGGCGTCCATTAACTTAATTCTTGTTCATCCTAACGTTAATCTCCTTATAAATTTCATATTTATGTTGTTTTCTATTGGATTACTGTCAATCGATTTGCATTTTTGTTTTTAAATGTATAATCAGAACTTTGAAGTCAATTCGTTTTCTTTTATTTTGACAATCACCAAATTTAAATTATAAAATATAAGAATTGTGTTTTATTTACTCGGTTACTTGTTTTTTAATAATAAGTTGATATATTTTAACCTAATCTTCCATACAAATTTATAATACTTAGTCGAGGGCCTCGTAGCTCATTGTAAGTACTGACTTTGATGTTTAATATTCATAATTACTATTGCCAATGACATCTGCCTTGAATGGCTAAAATAATGTATTTTTTACCTTAAGGTGGTCGAAGATTGATTTTTTTTTTTTTTTTTTTTTTTTTTTTTTTTTTTTGCAATTGGTGATATTTTTATTAAAAGTGAAATTCTTGTGTAGGTAATCGGGCGGAATGAGGGCGGGGAGTATATTCAATTATTCATGTCCCAATCCCTGAAACCCCACTTTGGTTCCCGTTGCCATCTCCGTCGGGGAAAGAAAATCGTTCTTCATTCCCGTCGTCCTTTTAAGGATGGGGGAAATTGTCATCCATATTCTTTTGTAGTGAACCTCTTGGTCGAGCCCATCGCACAAGATTTTTCTAGTGCAATTATCTTCTCTTGTGTGGTTTACAAACTACTAATAAGAACATGCCGGATTTAGCTTGTGCACGCTTTCAAGTAGTAACTGCGGATTTCCTTCATCGTCCAAAATAATTAATAAAAAGTGTATTTAATATATAGTTAATACTTTACTTTTAATTTTTTTTAAAATGTAAATTGAGATCGATTTTGTCACTTGAAGAAAAAAAATAACAATGCTTATAAAGTATTATTCTTTGGACTAATTGTAAGGCTCGTAATTAAACCTATATTTAAATAATGAAGAGAGCCATCACTTGCATGCATCACATGTACCTTCTCATCTCCTTTAATTTGCCAACTTCTCTCAAGTCAAGAAATAAAAGTATATATTGCAGGAAAAGAAGATATACTACAAAATTATATACCATACATAACTTTTGCAGTTTCAGAATTTTTATATTTATTAGTCTCTCTTTAATTGAGTGACTTTATTATGAATGAAAATTAAATCTACATAAGCATAACAATATAAATATAATTTTTATATTTATTAGTCACGGATTTGATTCTTGCCAACACTCCATCTGTTCAGCTGAACACACATGATCTTTTTAGTACAGAAGGATTATGTAACGAGTTCAACCGAAAGAGTGTTGGCAAGAATCTCACTTTGACAATACCACCCACCATGAGATATGAATGAAAAATTTACGGAATAATTAAATACAAAAATATATAGCGTATTATGGCGTAAATGTTAGGGTTTTGTAGGGAAATATGAGCATGTAGCATTTCTTACATGGAAATTTGTGTAGTTAAAATACTATAATAATAAAATAAAAGCCCTAGTTTTTTGCCCAATTCAATCAATTGACTGTTGACTTTTTTTTTTTTTTTTTTTTTTTTGTTTTCTTATATTCTGTACCCATCTTAATCTCAGTCAGTCTATTTGTATTGTTATTTCAGCAGTTTCTGAATCAGGAAAGTCTAATAACCCATTTTTAAATTGCTTTCATTTTGTTGCCACAAAAGATTAAATTCCCGCATATCCAAAGCCCCGCACCTCAATTGTGGAAGGCTAATCACAGTAATTCAACGACTTATTGCTTTCATTTTCTTTAAAAATTAAAAAAAAAAAAAAACATTTTGATATGTGAACCTTGATTTACCTCATTATGGATAAATGAAAGCAAGGCTAATTTAATCAAGGCTAATCACAGTAACAAAAAAAAACACTGTACATAAAAGTGTATAGTCAGTTGTAGGTTTCAATGCTGATGTAGCCTTGATTTACCTCGTTATGGACCTATGAGCAGGTGGGTTTATGTGTCTCAGAATTAGTCCAGCCAAACTGAGATTACTGATGTTGAACAATTTTATTTGTTTAAAAAAAAAAAAACATTTTTGTTACTGAACACTGATTGGTTCGTGAGACGGATTCTTCCTTTTTCTTTTGACCGATCGACAATCACACCCGTTAGAATATACGACTAAAATTGCAAATTCTATGATCAAACCTTGTGTTGAATCTTATTCATCTCTCTCTCTCTCACTCCGACTTGCGTCAACAAATCAGCCGCTATGTTTTACCAGATTACATATATATAATTAAGTGATTTCAAGACTTTGATATATCGTTCACAAGAAAAATTAAAGAAACATTCATGGACATCGCTGTTGAAACCCCAGCGTTCTTCATCTGTCCGATCTCTCTCCTCATCATGAAAGATCCCGTCACGGCCGTCACCGGCATAACCTACGACCGGGAAAGCATCGAGAAATGGGTGCTCGACGGGGACAACACCTTCTGTCCCGTCACCAACTTGCCGTTGCCGAGAGACTCCGACTTAACGCCCAACCACACGCTCCGCCGCCTCATCCAGGCCTGGTGCACCGCCAACGCCGCCTTCGGCGTCGACCGGATTCCGACGCCCAAGACGCCTCTCAGTAAGGTTTACGCCGTGAAACTCGTCCGGGATCTCTCGAGGCCCAGGCTCCGGCTGAAAACGCTGCAGAAGCTGGAGATGCTGGCGATGGAGAAAGAATCGAACAGGAAATCCATGGTGGAAGCCGGGGTTGTTAAGGAGCTTTTGTCTTGTCTCATCGGATTTTACAAGAAAGACGAAAAGATCGGACTGGAACAAACCCTCTATGTTCTTTACCTAATCCGAGGTTTCTCCTGCGAAACTACGAACAAATTTATAGCGGAAAACGATAATCTCCTCGACGCGATCTTGTGGGTTTTGGACTGCGCGCCGCAGACGACCCAAACCGCCATGAAAAGCCATGCACTCTGCGTGATGAAAACGGTGGTCGGAAAAGCCAACCCCGCCGCCCTGGAACGGCTCCTAACGCCGGAGATTCTCAAGAAGATTGTGAATTTCTTGAAAGACAACAATACCATAACAAAACAAGGCTTACACGCCGCATTGAAGATCATGTTAGAAATCTGTCTCCTGGGAAGAAACCGCGTGAGAATGGTGGAATCCGGCGCGGTTTTCGAGCTCATCGAACTGGAACTGAATCTCTCCCCAGCGGCAGACAAGAAAACAACCGAGCTAGTCCTAGGAATCTTGTTCCATTTATGTTCCTGCGCCGACGGGAGAGCGCGGCTGCTCAGCCACGCCGCCGGGATCGCCGTGGTGACGAGGAAGATCCTCAAGGTGTCTCCGGCAGCCGACGATCGGGCCGTCCTGATTCTTTCGTTGATTTCTAGGTTTTCTGCTACGAGTGGGGTTCTTCAAGAAATGCTGCGGGTTGGAACTGTGGCGAAGCTTTGCATGGTTCTTCAAGCCGGTTGTGAATCGTACTTAAAGGATAAGGCAAAGGAGATTCTAAGAACACATTTTGATGTTTGGAAGAATTCACCTTGTGTTGAAGTGGCTACATTGACAAGGTACCTAGCTAGCTAGCTAGCTGATTTCAATTTTCATGTAAAACATATATATATCCAAGATAATACTATACATGGGTATAAATATAATCAAAGTTCAATAGAGAAATGCAATTATTATTCCTTAATTATATTAAAAAAAATTGCATAGAATGTGGCAAATATCAATAGAGAAAAAGATCACTCGAATATTGTTGGGCAGAGACTTAAATTGGAATATCATGTCCAATAGCCTATCAATGAAACATGGCATTAATTATTAAGTATAACTTTTAATTAGCTATAAGCATTTAACCATAATAATTGGTATTCGGATAATTTATGGGTTTGATATTTTGTTGTATTATATTGGACCCTAATTATTACATCTCCACGAAGTCAGATGTGACTATTGACTGCGCAAAAAGTACTACACATGCTGGTGGATATGGAGAATATCTCTTTTGGTGTATTATTTAATGGGATAAAACTTAATTATATTAAAGAAATATTGATCCAATATGATCGTGGAAAGAAGTCAAGCTTTTTAAAATAATGTGATTTGTGAAGGCAATGTACGACGTTTCAATTACTTTGTATTTTATTTTATTTTTTGTCAGATCCTTGAGGTGTCTTAAGCAGGCACTAGTTGTAGTAGGTCAGATTAGTTTTTTCATAGGAGAGAGAGTTCGAACTCCCGACATCTCTTGAGGAATGAGAGTGTATTATTTGTTGGTTTGGAATAGTTTTAGGAACGAGTAAATTCCATTTTTAGTCATCGACTATTGTGACATTGCCACATTTAGTCTTACTCTTTTAATTTTATCATATTATATCCCCGACTATAATTTGATTGCCACTGTTAATCCTCCGTTAAAATTTCTGTTAATCTACCGTTAATAATAAGAGCAATAATGTAATTTAACATCTTGTCTCAAATACAAATCAAAATCCATCTTTTTTTATTTTATTTCCTCTCTCGTAACTCTCTTTGTCCTAATTTAAAAAGAATCAAAATCTCTATCAAATCTGTTATTCTATGATCTGGCTGGCAAGGTTGTATCAAATCTTATTGCAATGTATGTTTTGTTAAACTGTGAATTGAAATAATTTTATTAACATAATAATGTCATGATTTTCTTTTAAATATTTCGAACACATTAGAATTGACAAGTAACAAAGAAGAAAAAATTGTCTTATATTAAATCTATAACATTCCAAACAAAAGTTTCCCACTGACATTCCAAACACTTAAACTTTAACTATAAGCTTGATATATAAAATGATTTAATCTGGATGTTAAAACTTATAAGCTTCAATCAATTCCCAACAGTTGCTATTTCTTCCGGCCTTAGATTCTCTACATTTATAGGTTCTGACATTGTTAAATCTACTATCGGTGGCTCTGGAATTACATGTGCTGCATGCTCTAGATTTTCTCTTTCAATATCACCCTCTGCATTACGAGAGAGGGGGGAAGGAAGTCTAATATATAATCTAATAAAAAAATGAATTTCTCACCCAAAAAAAAAAAAAAGAAAGATGAATTTTGATGTGTATTTGAGATAAGTTATTAAATTACATTATTGACATTATTGTTAACGGTAGATTAACGAAAATTTTAATGGAGGACCAAAAGTGACAATCAAATTAAAGCCAGGGATATAATATGACAAAATTAAAAGAGTAGGACTAAATGTGACAATGTCACAATAGTCGAGGACTAAAAGTGAAATTTACTCTTTTAGGAACTATGAACTTTAGCGAAACCATTATTTATATATCTTGACCATGTTTAAGAATTAATCTCTCTCACACACATTAACAAGAGTTTAGAAGTGTTGAAAATGTTTTAAAATCATTGCAGTGATCGAAATCTGAATGTAATTAGAACCGAAAATAAGAATGCTGCATGTTAAAAGAAAAATAAAGGTTAAGTTTAATATCATCCTTACGTATATCTGCAGATAAACAAAAACGAGGTCACATTGAGGTGTCGTGGTGTAGTTGGTTATCACGTCAGTCTAACACACTGAAGGTCTCCGGTTCGAGTCCGGGCGACGCCATTGTGTAGATTCAAGGATTTTAGATTGGATAATCTCGGGCCGACAAGATCCCTGTTGTCACAAGTTGAAAAACTGTAAGCCCAACGGCCCATATGCAGTTCGATTGGAGATTAATACGAATCTTGCATTTCTCTAGGATTGATAATATGGAACATTGGATTATAATTTACCCTTATTAAATAACATTATTACACACTCTAAACGCTTGTTAGTAAGAAGCACAATAAAATAAAATAAAATAAAAACCTTAAAATGAATGATGAGCGAGTAGATAAAGTATGATTTCTTATACTATAAGATCACAAGTTTAATTCTTCTCAACATCTTTTTTGGTCGAGCTTATTAATGATAACTATATTTAGGTTAGTGACTAAAAAAGGACGACTGATTTAATCCAAAAGATCTCATGATTTCTATTTTTTCGTAGTCTATCCATAAATATCTTCAATTAATTAACGAAAAGTCTCATTTCGAATCATCTTAATGTAACTATTCTAAAATTTATAACGAAGCATTTTGTCACTTTTGTACGTGGTCTTATACTACACAAATATAACTAGTCTTAATATGTGTTTATTGAACTGTCCCGATATACTTACATAACAACTTATTAAATAAGTTTGATTTTATCACATGTATATATATAGTTTGAATAATCCAAAATCGATCTTATCAATAAATATAAATAGTTCTAAAACCTTTATTAAAAAAAAAAAAAGAAGTTAATCCATTCCTATCCCATTGTCATGCCTCAACACTGCCACGTCATCAGGTGCACTAATACATTGTATGCCCTTGCAAGTTGGTTGCAATTCCATCGGCTAAACACTAAACAACAACCTCGTTCCTAAGCAAGCAACGTTTTCCCCCCTTCAAAAAAACGTGCCTTTTAAGGTTAAAAAAAAATAAAAATCGTTGACTTGTTGACTACCACTTAGGAGCATAGTATTATGCATGTGCCATTTTCTCTTTATCTTTTCATATTGTTTGACGTCGTTTGTGATGACACGATCTTACACTCATAACAATTCATAATGGAGTATAGTGAATACATCAATATGAATGTTTGATTAATTAGCATTTTGTAATAATTTATTGCTTCAAAATGTTAAATTCAAAACACTGTTTTAAAGTAGTTCTTTTGATCAGCTTTTTGATAAAGTCATTTTGTATGTAATCAGCTAACAGTTAATTTACCAAACACTTCATTTGTCTTTTGTTCATCTAGAGCTTGCTTATATAATGAGGAAAATGGCAAAGAGAAGAAGACGTTTTCCCCTCGTACATCACGGCGCACATAGCAATGTGCACCCAAGCACAAAACGCACGCGTTTCAATTGCTGACATCACTTTGCCCGTCCAAACGACTCAAATCCCATTATGTGTATTTATTTAACAGTTTATGGTGTATTGTGTTATGAGTTTCTGTGTATTCAGTTAAGAGTTTTTGTGTATTCAGTTAAGAGTTTATGTGTATTCAGTTAAGAGTTCCTGTGTATTTAGTTAAGAGTTTCTGTGTATTCTGTTCAGATTTTTGTATATTTAGTTAAGAGTTTCTATGTATTATGTATCATGTGAGTTTATGTGTATTCGAAACAGATGATTTGTTTTGAACAATGCACCAAAACGACATCGTTTTGGATAGTGCGGTGCGCATAATGCATTGTGCGCCCTGGTGCACGGTATTACGATTGCCAAAAGGTGATCTCTCACCATCTCACAATATAATGTAAGCCCATGAACCGTCCTCTTCTATGTGGTTTAATTTGCACACATATTTGCAATGTGTTTGATGGTTAAGCATCACTTCTGACGTATCATGTATCTGTTTTAAATTTTATATGCGGTTTGCGCACATATATGTAACGTATTTGATAGTTTTAGGTCTATACATATACGAATTGGACGGTGGTGATTGTCTCAACGAATATGGTAAAATGCAATATAGAACTTGAAGAGCAAGACAATGGGTAGCCATCCAACTACACATTAGGTCTCCAATAATACTTTTGTACTAAATAATAAATGATCATATTACAATATTTTCTATGATAAAAATAACATCTCTCTCAAAAAGTCACTCCGCCTTCTTATATTCTCACCAGTCACCACAATTAAGATTGGATCCATATATGTTCTACTATCCTCGAAGTTTCTTGCACGCATCTCAATATTTAACAATATTACGTTACGCCTACATACGTTGTTGGCATACTTTTGATGACTTAATCAGTTGTCAATCAAACCATTTATAACGGTCTACACCTTACTAATCGTAATCTAGTTACACATATGGACGGGGACAAGATCGTAGAAGAATGCTCCTCATTCATCTATAAGGACTGTAAACACCTTGTTAGTGAGTGTTATTATTTTCTATAGTATATAGTTGTTTTATGTGGTTCAGGTTTAATTGACTTAGGATTCTCTATTAGACAGGAGAGTCTTACGTTAATTATCTTTTAATACTTTGTAATCGCTTCTGTTACAACTAATGAATGAAATCTGAATTCTAATCTGGTATCAGATAGGTTACGATCACCTTGTTTCTCTCTGCCTTTCCTAAACAAACTCCATCGAAAACTAACATCGAAACCATGTCACAGACATCGGAACGAACCGTCTCTGCCGGCGGCTCTCCCTCACCGGCGACCGCCAACCCATTGGCCGGCGCCCATCACCATGTTTCCATGAAGCTTAATAGCCGCAACTTCCTCTTCTGGAGGACTCAGTTGGTCCCTTTCTTGAGGGGGCAGGACCTGCTGGGTATGTGGATGGCTCCACGCCATGTCCACCGGCGACAGTCGCAGCGGCCTCGGATTCCGGCTCAGGCACAACGCCAGCGACGGGGATGGTTCCGAACCCAGCGCACAAGGCTTGGGTGCTCCAAGACCAATCGATTTTATCGATGTTAATTTCATCCATGTCCGATGAGGTGCTACACTTGGCCGTCGGACGGGAAACTGCAACCGAGGTATGGTCTTCGATCGTCACG